AGCCGCAGGATTGCATGGTGCTATATGGGCTAGGTTCTTGTCGAAGTTACGACTAGTGATATTGTTCACATCAGCTGTGAAGTAACTCTGATCTGCTTCAATGTTTTCGACAATCCCATCTGGCCTCCAGATTGCTATTCTTTGATGCATGGAGGATGGCACAGCCCCAATCCCATGGATCCATTCTCTTCCCAACAGCAAGTTGTAATTTGCTTTTGATGCTATCACCACAAACATTGTAGGCCTGGTGATGGATCCTACAGTCAAGTTCAATTGTATTACTCCCAGTGTTGTTCCCACTTTACCTTCATAGTTGGACAACACCATATTGTGAGGCTTAGTGTCGGAGTCATCTTTTCCAATTCTCCTTATCATGTAATGAGGAATTAAATTTACAGCTGCTCCGCCATCTATCAGAATTTTGTTGACACCTACACCTTCTACCTTTCCTTTTATGAAGAGAGGCTTTAAGTGAGCCTTCATTGCATCATCTGGCTTTTCGAAGAAGGCATTTTGCTCTTCGACACAGCCATTGTTCATTATGTAGTAGCATACAGGCTTCAAGCTTATGCTATCATCCATCATGTCGTCCTCTTCGTCTTCGACTTCCATTATCCTGTCGAAGTCTCTGGGCAGTACAGAAACCACATTGCAAGTTACGTCGAAAGAAGCATCTGATTCTGAACCAAATTCATCTGTGACTTCTTCGTCCACTGGCATTCTATTGTTTGTTTTCTGCACCTCTGTGGTGTCACCAGATCTATTCTTCTGAATGATTTCTTTTTCTGCCAGGGGCATTCCCTTGTTCGTAATCTGCACACATTTGCTTGATTCAGCTTCCTTCTGCCCAACCTTTTGGTATTCTACAGTTTTCTTTTCAATTTTCTTCTGCCTTTGGAATCTTCTCCATTGGGATCTGGACATAGGATTCTTCCCTTTGTAGTTTTCAGAGACGTATTTTGGCTTTGCCTCCTTTTTAACTTCCATGGAAGGACCCCTGTTCACTTCAAAACTCTTCCATCTCTTCTGACCTTGGACATCCCTTATAGGCTGAACCCATTTGTCATCATTTGGCCTGTTGGATGGTTTGTAAGTGTTGAAACGTCTTTCTCCGACCCCTTGACTGTGATGCTCCCCTCTTCTTGGGTCGAATCTTTCGTTTCTGGTTGGTGGGACTGTTCCCCAATTTCTTTTCCTCTGGGTCTTTTCTGCTGCTTCCAAGTCATCAGCTGCTTTCTTGTCGAACACAGCACTGCATCTTGGGCAAAGCATGACTTCTGCATTCTTCCTTTGACACCTCTGGATGAATTCAACCAGACTCTCGTTCTCTTCTGGGTAAACCAGCTTCTGATGCTCCTCTTGACGCTTCTTTCCCTTGTCGATGTCTGGTCCTCCCTTTTGAGTGATTTCCACCATATGAATCCCAGCACTCTGTTCAGTTGTAATTTTCAATTTGTTCATTTTTTCGACTAGCATGATTTCCTCTGGGATGTCCTCCTTTGACTGACTAACATTGCCTTTTGGGTGTAAGCCCTTATAGATGTATTTGCAGCAATGTGCAACCCTTTCGACAGGATGTTCTTCATTTTTGGTGGTATCACTGTTCATTTGTTTGACAGTGAGGGAATTGTCATCAGTCCCTGGTGTTTTAATCTCCTCTTGGTCAGCATCTCTTTCACAGTTTTTCTTGTTGAAGCTTCTTCCCACTTTGACTGCATTTCTTCCGTTGAAACCTTCAGTGGTCTTAGTGGCATTCTCACTGTCGAAGTCTTCAGAAATTTTGACTTCTTTTGCCTCAGCCTGGCCAGCAGAATTATCACCTTCTTCCACCACATTGACATGGGTGTCGAAACCTTCAGCAGCTTCTATCATGGTGAAGTTGGTGTCGAAGCTTTCAGTAACTCCTACCACTTCAGAATTTTCTTCTGCCATGATCTCCATTTCGACCACGTTTACCATTTCTGGCTCAGCATAATTTGCCTCCACAATCTGCATGGGATTGGAGTCAATCTTCATCTGCTGCTTGCCTTTGTCTCCAAACTTCAACCTTCCATTTTGGATTGCATTTTGGACAAGATCCCTGAAAAGGTAACATTGAGAAGTTTTATGACCCAAGAAATTATGGTATTTGCAAAAACCTCTCTTTTTCTGTTGGTCTATAGGAGGCTCTTTAGTGCCTGCTGGTTTTATTAACTGACCATCTTTGACTAGTAAATCAAATATCTCATCACACTTGGTGATGTCGAATGTATAGGTTCTTTTAGGGAACCTGTCATTCTTTTCCATTTCGACTGGACTTTTTCCATTCGACGGGGCTAAAACTTTACAAGAATATGGAGGGCCTTGCTTTAATTCTGCAAGATCAATTTCTTGCTGGTCGAAAATGACTGGTTCGTTTTCGTCGTAATCATCTTGAACCATTCCTACATAGGCCACTCTTTCCTTCTTGTTTTTATTTGATCTAAATTTCTCATTTTTTAGTCTTTCTATCTGCCTTACTCTGTCTGCCAACTGTGCCATGTCTCTCAGATATTGGGTATCCAGTTTTTTCCTTATGGAATAATCAAGACCCCCTGCAGCCATTTCGACTAGTTCTTGTTCCGGCACTTGCGTAAAGCATCTGGCTTTTAATAATCTAAACCTATTCAAATAGTCATCTATGGGTTCAGAAAATTTTCTTTTGACACTTGCCAACTCTTTCAAACTTATCTTGGTTTGTCCCATATAAAATTGTTCATGGAACAATCTCTCTAATTGGGTCCAAGTAAAAATTGAAGTTGGAGGAAGTGACGTAAACCAAGTGAAAGCGTTTTTTGTCAAAGAACTTGGGAAATATTTCGTCCTTAAGTTCTCGTTATTAGCAATCTCTCCCGCTTCTATCAAATAACGTGCCACGTGTTCTATGGTGGATTCACTAGTATCCCCTGAAAATTTTGTGAATTTGGGGACTTTCCACCTTGGTGGTAACTCTTGTTGTAAGATAAATTCAGACAAGGGGGAAGTATAACTAGGCCTTTGTAATCCTACGTTTACTCCGTTTTGTGCCATTATTCTCTCCACCATGGTGGCAATATTATTTTCGACAGGCATGTTATTGTAACGCATTCTCTGCTGTAACACTTCGTCAGCATTTTGGTTTCTCTGGACTATTATCCTTCTTGGTTCCTGTCGAATAGGCTCTTCTACATTAGGCTGTTCGACCATCACCTCTTGCCCCCTGGGATTTTCCTGAGGGTTCCCTAAGGGCCTTTGGTTTATAGTGAGTTCCTCTTCGACAGCCCTATTGGCAGGATTCTGGTTTAATTGCATTCTTTGTTGTGCTTGTGGGACTCCAAAAAAATCAGCAATGCGTGCCATCTGTTCTGCCAATATTTGGTTTGTTTGGGTAGTGTTTTGTATTAAGGGATTGAACACGTCTCCCATTTGTTGTGTCAGAGCCTGCACCATATCATGATTGCTTTCATCCATCTGTTGACGGATTACTTGTGCAGAATGGTTTGTCATAGCGGGCATATGGAAACCTGGTGGAATTTGATTCATTCTATTTCCATTTCCACCATATCCTGATCCTTGCAATGGTGATGACACTTGAACCATGGCATCAGAGAATAATGGTGACGAATTATGTAGGCTTGCCATCATTGAAGTTGGCATTCCGTACGGTTGTTCTCTCCCAGCCAAAGGCTGAGAATAATTCAGATATGGCCTGAATGTATTTCCTCCAGGGGGAGGGGTTCCCAAGGGTCTGGCGTGTCCCATGGTGGAAGAACTAGGCGCATTCTGGGATCCTGAACCCGTTGGTATGGAATCCCCCAAAGGAGGCCTAATCTGTTCTAAAACAGGGCCAGACACTGGTATTGTTCCTGACGAAGGGATAGGATTGGAAACTGGAATGGTTTCGTCAGAAATATTTGAAGCATTTGGCAAGTTAGCCATGTTTCTTCTTCTTGTTCTCTTTGGTCTCTCTACGTCGGTTACGGCTAATTTACCGCTTCTAAGAATCATACAACGTAGCAAGGAACAATTTGTCTAAAAATTTCTATTAGATTTTATCAAATGCACTGGTCCCACTGGGCGTGCCAATTTGTTCGCTGTGTTTTCTGGCGAACAACCTCTGGTTAACCAATTTCTTCAGAAAGTTGGGTTACTTGCAGGACCAACCATACAAGTCCTAGGATACATGTGCATTTGGTTCTGTCGAAATACTCTTAGACTTTTGGTGACTAATTTGTGGTTTGTTTTATCAATATTGTCAAAGTATTAAGGACTTTGATTTTGCAAGTAACGAAGTTTGAACTTAAAGATGAAATAAAGTTAGAAGTTTAAACAAGAACAAAAAGATGTCGGAAGGCTAAAAACTTGCAGAAAAGTAAATGAAATGTAAAATGACATGAACTTGAAGAATAAACAAGTAATTTAAAATGACTTTGAAATATAACTGGTGTTTAAACGTACATTGTTCCAAATACTAGACTCATTTTCTCTCACACTGGGTACTTAGAGCTTTTACAGGAATTTTGTACAAATTTTCACACCCACATTCTAACCACAAACTATCCTATTTATACACAAACAAAATAACTGCTTAGAACGGAAAAACTATAACTAAACGACAAGTGTCAGCCTGCATGTAAATTTCTTCTCTGAAACCTCCATGTGTCCAACTGCCAAAGGTTACAACCTTTGAATTTGAATCTCTTCCTTGGTGACGAAACCTTGTAACTCTTCAAAACTGTCGAAACCCTTTTAAAGGAGAAAAACTCTTCAGCACTTGCCAAACCTTATCTTTTATTAACAAACTTCTTCTGTCGAAGCCCTCAGTCACAAATTCTCCAAACTATTCTGCCAGAACATTATATCTATTTCTGTCGAAACAATGAAACTTTAAAACCTTGTCAGCAATTCTTGGATTCTCCTCCTGTTGCTATCCTTCGACAAAGATGACCTTAAAGCCTGAATTTTAATATTGTCGAAATTATGGTCTTGTCGAAATTATGGGTTTACACACCCGCTGTTGATAGAGTGTGAGTTCCGTGGCCTACAAAGTCGCGTGCGGTGAGTAACGACGGGTGAAGCTTGCCATAATATGCTTCATAAGCATTGCTGAAGAATCTGGCTCCAATTAGCTTCCTGTTTATATATATATATATACATATAGTAGGAATATTAATAATTAAACCGATATAGGGTTGAAAGTTATGTCTTGTTAAGGGTGTAAACAAGAGAGAAAGAAGAACCTGTTGCAAGGATTTTTCTTGAGTTTGCCAAATTGTCTAATTTGACAAGCTTTGCCCCCACGCCATTTCGATGGTATGGGGCCAAATCCTTTGTCGCTGAAGCTCTTGGATTCCGGCCAAACACCTATTCAATTTCAATGGTAAAACAAGATATAATATGTAACTTTAACTTGTAAAAGATCTTACTCTTTTAACAAGGAAAAAAATAATAATTCAAAAATCCAAAAGCTTACCGGTGTCAATGTTTGCAATTATTGTATTTTCACCAAATCTTCCTTTTTGCCATGCAGTGTTACCATTTCTGTGCAGTCCAAGAAATTCCCATGACCGAGTAGTGTGCAGTTTATGAGATTTGCTCAAGAACACAGACAATACATTTGTTTTTTCTGTCCAAATGGAGACACTATTCTGTCAACTAATTTTAAACCAAAATTTAATTGGATACTTAATTAAAGTTATTCACAAAAAATGTAAAACTCATTTCTAGTTTTATTATTAAATTTAGTGAATATGGAAGAATTCTCACTTGCAATATGTGCTGCTTGTTCCTCTTCGAGTAGAGCAGCAAAGCCATTGATGTGTTTGTTATATGAATAAATGATTGCTTCTTTTGCTTTCTCCTCACTGTAAAACAATGCACGTATGATATATATCCATCACCTTTTTCAGGATCATAATGGTTATTAACTTTTTTAGAGTGAAACAAATTAAAATTTAAAGTATGAATAATAAATAAATGCAAAAGAAGGTGATGATTGTGAAAAAGTATAGTAAATAATTATCCAATAGAATAATTTTTTATACAAGTTTGTCGGTTATCATTATGTAACACGTTATAAGTACTTTTTGAAGATAACGTTTTTCTATAGCCAGATGTTATTTGTTGATATTTGAATTATAGATATCTTTCTCAAACTTTTTTGAGTATGAATAACACTGATACATTCTCTAACACATTTTTTAATTACATTCTCTTTGATTTGTTAAAATTTACATGAATCTTATTATATATAACTTACATGATTTTATGAGATCCATATGAGTTTTAACTTTTAACCGATCATAGAAAATGTGTAGTTAGCACTTTTCTTTTGAATATTCAAACTCAACCAATTAAGATATCCTTGTGAGCAGAAAACTATATTATGGGTAGACAATTTTTTTTTAACAAGGTATATAGCTTATGTGGCTCAGGGAAGGCACCCCGAATGTGATATTTTTGGATAACTATTAATTGAGTTGACTTAACGGAATCTTCTGTTAAAAAAGATAATAGTACTATAATTTACACTAACAAAGTTATTAAAAAAATCTAAATAATTATATGTTGCATTTGATACCTGCCCAAAGTTGAACTTAGTAAATCATAATGAGAATTGGTAGCAATTTCAAGTTGAAGAGATGTAGGGTTAGGACCATGAGAATGTGCTCCCAAGTATACAATATAACACTGTAGAACAAAACCATTCAAAATGTCACAAAAAATGAGGATTTAGCAACACAGTTACAAAATCATGATTTGTATATATATATAGTAACAAAGAAAAACATCAAATCAATGAAAACAAGACTCTACCTTTTTGGTGCCATAGACTGGTTCTAGCAAGAGCATGAAAAGGAAAAGTAATGAAACAATAATGTGAAGATAAAATAGGGAACCACCCATTTGTTTCATAGTGTAACGTAATAGGTTTTCACTTCAAAAACTTCATCTAGCTAGTGTCCTACATATATAGTCGTTATTTCTTTGTTTGAATGATTAATGGCATGTGATGTGCTGTTTATTCTCAAATGGTCCATGGAGAAAGTGCTTGACGTAGCTTTTGCTTTTGGAAATAAATATAGGAGAATACTAATCTTTTTCTTTTGCTTTTCTTTATATTGGCAAAAGCGTTTTCCACATGAGATAAAATATTCTCAACATAGATGGAATTATGGATAAGTTTTTCTTTTACTGTTGAAAAAGAAAAAGAAAAATATCTATAAAATAAAGTCTCACTTGCTAATATTAGTAGGAGAGTGATGATTTCAAAAGAAGGCACCGTAAAGGACCAATACACCGTGTCATTATCAGTCTGATGTTTTGTTAGATAGTCATCATGAGTATTCATATCTTCTTAAGAGTATGAAATAGTTGAACTTGTCATTTCTTAGAGAAAATTTTTTTAATATTGTGAAGAATCGAGACATAGTAATATCAAACATTAACAAAACACCGAAATAAATTTGATAGTAAAGTTGGAGTCAGAATAACACACAGGTCTTTAACGTCAAATTTTCAGGCCATCCGCAATCCATGATATAACGTCATTAGCTTAACATGAAGGATGACAAAATAACTAATATTATCCGCAAAACCCTAAAACAAAGCACCATCAACATTTTGAATCAATCCACAAAAGTCTGAGATGTCAGGATTACTGAGGCTACTATCATCAACATTCAAAATCATATAACTACATTTTGTATGCATTTTATGTGATCTTTCTTGTTGGATGATAGATTATGCTTGGGAAACCATTTAGATAATAGATTAACATAATTCACTGTGATGAATTTCAAAGTATAAGAAAATACCACTTCATTTGTAAGACACTATTTGTTCCTAGCACGCCACAACCACCAACAAGCAGCCAAAAACATAGAGTCGCCATCAATGACATGTCTAATCCAATAATAGAAATTATCTCTTTGGAAGAATAAAGGGTCCAAAAGTCAATATATTTACGAAAACGAGTAGCAAATTCATAGTCTCTCAGATAGTGTAGAGTCGTCACAGCACCCTGATTACATCTAGGACAGAGATTTGTCTTAATCATACCACGATGACACAACATCAATCTCATAAAAAAGGACTTATGTAAGTATTTTATATATATATATATATATATATATATATATATATATATATATATATATATATATATATATATATATATATATATATATATATATATATATATATATATATATATATATATATATATATATATATATATATATATATATATATATGTATAGATGAAATTGTAAAAAATATTACAAATTCACACACACAACCTTGAAGTCTTGGGTTCAAACTTAGGTGATGACATTCAATTTAACAGGGTTAGATTTTTCAAATTAAGTTAGGATTTACAAATACTATTGTTTATTATTTATTATTACATAATTATTAACAGTATTATTAGTATTTGTTTTATTAAAAGAGATTAATTCAATTGGTATTCTTTTAGTTTAGTGTAAAATTTCACTTTAATCCCTTATTTAATAAATATTATTCTTTAGTCTCTCAAAAACTATTATGTTAGCTAATTTTATCCTTTTTGTTAACTTTTAACTTTAAATATATAAGTGAGGCAATATAACAATTCCTTTTATTAATAAAATAAGATTATATGTGATGTGACATATAAGTAATCCTAGTTTGAGACATCCGAATAACGACAACTTGACGATCTTAAACTCTTTCGACTATGTTATTACATGTGATTGACAAAATTTAATAGTCAAACATGTTAACCAAGATGTTCTGTCATTCTATCATACGAGGTGCTTCATAGCGCATTTGTTATAGGTAACATGTTATAGCAAGATGTTATAACTTTATGCGAGTCATATTGTCTGGAGATGCTTACTTGGTGCGTGTTTTAATGGACTGAATCTCACGCTTTTAAGATTTGCTTCCTTTTCTCTTCAATAAAAGATCTGGTTAAAAATGCGTTGTCATTTAGAAAAGATTTATGAATCATTTTCTAGCAAGATTTAAATTCTTATTCATATCAATTTCATATTTAACTAGATTTGTTTTAATCAAGACTTAGAATCACCATTATGAAGATTGATTTTTTTAGCATTTTAGAATCCAGTCTCGTTCACGTCAAAACCCTACTAGAATTTTATGTTGGGCAATTGTTTATATATTAGGAGACATTCTACCTTATGTGAAGACTCGTAGACCTTACATGGTCAAGCGTGACATGTTTTTTGTTTTTTTATTGAGTATTCATGTTTTATGGTTTTATACTTTATTCCTAGGGTTATTTTATAAGTTAGGAGGATAAAGTATTTGTGTTGGAGTTGTGATTAATCGTTTCATATACTTTTGTAATTGTACAAATACTAGGAAAAGTGTAAGGGTGAAAGTGAGAGGGATATAAAATTCAGGGGGAGCCTGGATTAAAGTTCACGTTAGTATTAGGAAAATGACACCGAAGTTGGATAATTTAAATGAGACGGTCATGTACTATTGACTACTAAGAGTAAATTTACTTTCATTGTGATGATGTCCTCCAAGCGTAGGTGACTTTGCATCAAACTGAGTTAACAATTAGTTGTGTTATTTTATTTACGTGTTTATTACACTTGTTATGTGATTTTGTTGTCATACACATTGTCCCAACATTGTGTCTGACATCTTGTCATCGATCGAACAAAATTTTAATTAGCATCATAGCAGCCACTCTCCTCTGGTTGGGTGAGCTCCAAATTTTTATCTACATTCTGTTTAAGATGAACAATTCAAAAGAAAGAGGATATCTGAATCGACCACCAACTATGTATGGTACAAACTATAATTATTGGAAGTCTTGTATAATTGTCTTTATCGAGTCAATGGACAACAAGACCTAGAAAGCAGTCATAAATGCACAAACTTCTCTAAAGGTCACAACTGAAGATAATACTAAAACTTTGATCCATAAAAGGATTGGTCAAAGGAAGAAGATAATGAAGCACTTGGTAATTCTCGTGCCCTTAATTCCATTTACAATGGAGTTGACAATAATATCTTCATAATCATTAACACCTGGACTAGTGCCAAAAAAAAAAGCTTAGGAAACTCTTGAAGTTGCTCATGGAGGCACGTCTATGGTTTGTATGTTAAGAATTTGACTTGTCACAACAAAATTTGAAAATCTAAAGATGAATGAGGATGAAACTATTTCTGAATTTAATGTCCCACACCGTGACATTTCCAACAACTCCTTTGCCCTTGGTGAAAAGATATTAGAAGAAAAGATGGCAAGAAAAATACTTAGATCTCTTCCAAAGAGGTTTGATATGAAAGTCATAGCCATTGAAAAAGTCCAAGATGTATAAGAAATGAAAATTAATAAGATCATTGGATCTCTTATAAGTTTTGAAATAGAGATTAATGACAAATCAGAGAAAAAAGTAATAATGTGGGTTCAAAGCAAATGTTGAAGAAGGTGATGACTAGTTAGAAGGTGATGCTAATAAAAAATTGATTGAATCCATTGCCCTTTGAGCCAAAAAATTTAGCAAGGTCATGAGAAGACTTGATAAGGAGACCAAGGAACAACGTCACTACCAATGTCAAAGACAACCAGCATCATAACTCCAAATGTGTTAACTTTCAATGTAAAGGAAATGATGGAGAAAAACAAACCAAGGGCAAGGGAATCCAATGTCATGAATGTAAAAGTTTATGACACATTCAGGATGAATATACTACCTTTTTTATGATGATTCAAATGAGGAAAGAGAAACTTAGCCAACCAACTGTGTGGTTGCATTCACAACCCGTATAAGGTCTAATTCATATGTTCATAATGATAATGACACAAGTGATGACAAACTGTTGATGACACTTTTGCTGAAGCCCACAAGATGATAAGAAGAAGAAAAATAGAAAATTGAATTTCCACCTCAAGAAAAAGCTTCCCTCACTGATACCATCTCTCAATTAAAGAAGGAAGTTGATCATCTTAATTCCAAACTTGAAGGTATGGCTAAATTTGTTTGTATGATGAATTATGGAACTGGAACCTTTATTGAAGTTCTGAGGGTGGAAAAATGTGAAGAGACATGAAATGAATTAGATACAGTTATGAGTCATCATACTCAAAAAAACAAGTTTGTTCCTCCTATCAAGAAAATAGAGTTCACCATATTATGCTACAAGTCTCAACATACTATCAAATATCATAACCAACACTCTAATGCTTATTCCATAATCTTCTAGATTTATCAGTATTTTGGTCGACATGGTTATATACGACTTTACTGCTACAAATTATATGGTATACATTTCTACCACTATTAGTCCCATCCTACCCGGAAGGTAACAAAATATGTGAGCACTCAATAATTTGGAGAGTCAAACAGAAAACTCTAAGTCATATAGCCTATACCTCTTTAAGAGTTTTCCCCTGAATATTAGTACTTTGATAATGGTTGCTCTAGACACATGACTAGAGAAAATAATTTTGTGTATGACATAAATCATATTACATAAGCTATTTCACTTTTGGTGATGGAGTCAAAGGTAAAATCATAGAGAAAAAGAAGTTAGACTGCTCAGGTTTCCCATGTCTAGATGATGTGTTTCTTGTTGAAGTTCTCATTGCCAATCTCATCAACATTATTCAACTTGGTGATCCAGACCTGAGTCAATTTTAATCATTTTGAATGCACAATCACTGAAAAACATCATGTTCAATTAATGAAGGGATCTAAATCAATTGAAACTTTTATATGTGGTGTCCACAAGAGAAGAATCATCATCAATCATGCATGATCTCAATGATTGATGTAACTAAGTTGTGGTATAGGAAAATAGGCCATTTAAATCTTAGAAGTATGAGAAACATTGTCTTTGAAAAGGTTATTATTGGTCTTCCCAATCTCAAGATTGAAGAAAGCAAAACTTGT